CTCAAAAAACAAGATGAGAGGCCAGCAAGATGGCTCAGTCAGCAAAGGTGCTTGTGGCCAAGCCTGACAAGCTGAGTTCAATCCCTAGGCCCCATGGTGGAAGGCAAGGACTGATTCTCACAATTTGTTCTCTGATCTCTACATTTGTGCCATGGCGTGTGCTATGGGCACATGCATGCACATAGAGACACAAACATATGCACATGCACATAAACACACATAAATTTAAAATAAAATTAAAAAAAGATGGATTGCTCCTGAGGAATAACACCCAAGGCTAATCCCTCTGTCCCTACACACACACACAGACACACACACATAGCCAAGAACAGAAAAAAAAAAAAAAAAAAAAAAACCTACAGGATCAGTCAAGAGCTAAAGGTAAAGCTTAATGGGGGAAACCTTACCTAGCATGCTTAAGGCCTTGGGTTCAATCTCCAGCAAAAAAAAAAAAACATGAATGCCAGTCATGGTAGTGCATACCTTTAAGCAGAGGCAAGCGGATCACTACTATGTAGGTAGACCAACATGGTCTACATAGTGAGTTCCTAGTCAACTAGGGCTACATAGTGAGTGAGACCTTGTCTCCAAAAAGAAAAATCAGGTCATTAGGTCAGGTGTGGTAACCCACTCCTGTAATCCCAGAACTTGGAAAATAGGAGGAGGATCAGGAGTTCAAGATCAGCCAAGCTACATGAGACCCTCAAAATAAGGGGTGGGAGAGAGGGAAGGAGGGAGGGAGAGAGGGAAAGAGATAGGGAGAGAGGGAGGGAGGGAGGGAGGGAAGGAGGAAAGGAGACAGACTCAAAGGCATTTCCTTTGAAACAGTGATATCCAGGGGCTGGAGAGATGGCTCAGTGGTTAAGAGCACCAACTGGTCTTGCAGAGGACCTGGATTCGACTCCCAGCACCCACAGGGTGGCTACAAACTGTTCTTAACTCCAGTTCCAGGGGAATCCAAAGACCTCTTCTGACCTCTGAAGCTTTGCATGACACAGGTGTGCTCACATACATGCAGGCAATATAGTCATACACATAAAAAATAAAAATAATAAATAAAATATTTAAAGAAAAGAAACAGTGCTATCCAAAACCATCATTTCAAAGTCTCTGTGTTTTTACTGACAGGTATAAAAGCACTCATTCTAACCAGGGCTGAGAACAGTTCTTCCTTGCTGCTGCGCTATAAGCTTTCTCTAGTAAATGGCTACACTAGTCTTTGGGCTGATTACCAGGAAAAGCTAAAACTTAAAATCTTCCATTATTTCCAGAAACTTTAAAAGGAGTTAGGTACTCAGGAGGCAGAGGTAGAAGGGTCAGAAGAGATCAGAAATTCAAGGTAACCCTCAGTTACATTATCAAATTCAAGGCCAGCCTGGGCTACATAGGTCCCTATCACAGAAAAATAAAAGATTAGGGCTGATCAGATGGCTTACTGGGTATATGTTCTCACCCACCAAGGCTGACAACCTGAGTTCTATCCTCAAACCACATGGTAGAAGGAAGAGAAGAGACTCCCCAAAGTTGTCCTTTCCACACACGTGCTATGGCAGATACACAAATGCGCACACACACAAAATAAATGTATAAATAAAAGATTGAAACCACAGCTCACAGTGAAATTTTCAAAATTACATTAGATTTTATTGACCGTGTTTTGCTTCCTGTCTCAACTTCTGAGCCTTCTGGAGTCCCCAGTAATCCTCCTCGGGTACCTTAATTAAACTAGGCTTGCTGGGATGGGCACTAAAAAGACAAATAAGACAGCACGGCACCTACACACAAGCAGCTCACAATCTACAGTGAAAGACAAAAAATAGTTTTAATATAGCATAAAAAATCCATTTATTTGAGCTACCTCCTACAAGCCTCCCTCTACAAGGTGGTAGCATTCCAACTGAAACAGTTGAAAATTCTCCGGAAGAGGAAATATCACTGGTAAACATAAGAAGTTTGAGGCAATGACTAGAAGTTAAAAATGAAGTGGGGCTGAGGATGTAGCTCAGTAGTAGAGCATTTGTCTAGCTTCTATAAGGCCATGAGTTCAATCCCCAGCACTCAAGTGGAAGGAAAAAAGAAAACTGGGGCAGCACCAGCATGCATATGGTAAGATCCCTGTTTCTAGGATTAAAATAATATCCATTACAGCACATCTGCCTCTCACTGACTCTAAGGAAAATGGACCTTTCATATGTATTATCCCAACTTGGGGAGCATCCTAAGTGACTACCGACCCTACCCAAGACGAAACACTCCTGCCTATAGCAAGAGTGTTTTTCATTTTAGTTCTCAACGGTCTGTCCTTTCTCTCTGGGGAATAGCAGTGTATTAGTGGTTAAATCTGTGAACTTTGTAGTTAGTCAGACCAGGGTTAATTCTGACCTTGATGTTTACGGGCAGTGAGATTTTCTGCAAATCTCAGCTTCTGAGGCTCAAAATCCTTTTTTTTTTTTCTTTTAAATGGTTGTTAGAAACTAAGTAAATATCCTATATAAATGCTTAGCACAAAATAAAATAAAGCAATGAGAAGAGGGTAGGGACAGAAGGCCCAGGCCAGTACTAACAAGGGACCAGCACCCACAATAGAAAGCAATAAATTATACAGAGCTAATCATTTTGTTATTCCAATTGATAGTGATCTTTGCTTAATTTATTTGCATGTATCCTATCTCACCCATCCCTAGAGAGCAACTACTTGCTAAACCTAAGGCTGGATTGTAATTACATGAAGCTTTAAGATCTCCAATAGTCTCAATTTTATACCAGCTGAGAACATGTTCTGGCCCCTCTGACTGTCCATACAGGAATCCTAAAGTACTAGAATTTTAACTAGCCAAGAGACCCCACCTGGAACACAGACCACCACCTTACTCATATAACAAAGAAACCAATAGAATTACATAGAAAGCAAACAAGGAAAGAAAAAGCTGTACAGCTCACACTCATTTGTCAGCATTTTTTACCCAAAAATTCAAAATAAAGAGCACAGCAAAAATAATAACAACAAAATAAAAGATTTACTTATCTGCACCCTTTCCTATAATTCCTGAAAGAACCAGTGGAGGTAAAGTAGAGACAAAAATCTTCCATCTTATCACCGCAAAGGCTCTAAGCTACACACACCAGGCAAAACAATGCCTTAGTTTTCAGAAATAGTCCTGGACCCTAATGATGTTCACTATAGCCACACAAAGCCCAGTTTCAAAGCCAGACCCAGATCACCACCAGTCATCCAGAACCTATTTTCAAACTGCCTTTGTACTCCTCCTTCAGGCTCTCATCCCTCCCCCTAAAGGTTGAGTGGGAAACCGACACTCCGGGAGCAACATGACCAAACCCCAGAAGATCCACCAAGAAACCTCCCCAGGCTAGACTCAAGGCAGGGAGAACATTTCAAAGAAAAACTGAAAACATTAAGCGAGAAAGAACCATAGCCAACTGGCTGTACACATTGTCTTTCTCCTTTCTTTTCAACTATACTTGTTTTAAATTCTGAGATCCAGACAGCAAAAATTTTCCTGTAACCCTTGCCTTTATTGTATGGAAAGGGGAACAAAGTTGTTTCCTTCTGAAGCCACCTCACAAGGACGAAACCATCCTACAAGGAATGTTTTCATTGTGGAAAAGAAATTCAAGGAAGTGTTCTAGTCTAAAAAGAATGGGGGCAGGGAGTTGGAAATCAGAAGATTATTAAAGACAGTAGCAGTTTAAAGCTAATGAGCAGCTTAAACATTAAGACCCGTCTCATTACAATCACAGCCATGTCTATCCCAACTCTAATTTTCATACCGATTCCCATTTTAAAAGGACAAGGAACAGAACACCCTAGTTTCTAGCTACTGGTGAGTTGGCTACATAATTATCTAGGATCAGTACTTTTGCAAGAATGTATTTGTAAAAACAAAACCAAACAAATCTTAAGATTAGATAAATGTAAGAATATGAAAGCACAGTCACCAGCCTTTAGCTCTAACAGTGTTCTGACTTGCTGGTAAGTTAACTAAAGAAAAAGGTCCTCTAAAAAACAACTTTCCAGTTGGCTTAAAAATAAAAATTCCCTTTGTGCTTTCTCAAGTGCATTGTGAAGTTTTCCTAAGAGGTTTCTCTCAGCCTAACCTTACACAACCCATAGTCCTTTCAGAGACCAAAGAGCTGAAAAGATTTTCAGGTGTGCTGCCTCTTTACCCAGGTGAAATAGAAAGCACGATTAGAAAGTCCTTATCCCTTTAAGCACATAAACCACACCAAACGTTATCATATCTGCAGATTTAACATACAACTTCACCAATCTCTGCCCTCAAAGGTACTTTTAGGAGGAAGAAGTGGGTAACAATTCAGTTAACACAGATGCACTTCTACAAAGCAAAGCAAGGAGGCTCCCACCCACCACACCTGGAAAAGTAAGAGGGATCCACCCAGAACAGAGGGCTGAAAGCGATCTGGGCCGTTCAAACACTCCAGAGAACATGCCACCACCATGTAGCTCAAAAGCTCCCTGCAACTTTCCACTGCCACAAATTCAGTGGTAAAAAAGGGGGAAAAATAAAAGTTTTGAAACATGAAGAACCATCTGTACAACTAGCTTCTGACCCAAACAAATTCCTTTCCCAACCCACACGCAACATGCCAAAAACCCAACTTTTCGGTTACTCTGAAAACAAAAATGTTAGCTTAAACCAGAAAAAAAAAAAAAGAATAAAATCAAAGGATATACAAAAATGTAATTTATACAACTTCTACCCCTCTGATTCTAATCAGTATTAGACCTATAAGTTTGTTTCTAAATCTTGTATATTTTACCCTTTCCTTAATATAAATAAAATGACAAAATACCCCTAAAGTATTGAAAGTAGAAAGGGAATTGTTTAAAAGTCACCCGTCAGCATAAGAGACTCCCCCTTTTAAATTCCCTCTGGTTACTAGTGAGACAAAAATCCCACTTAGGTTGTCCTCCTTTGCCCATCTCCACAAACATTTTTAAGAAGAGAAAAAGCACACACCTCAAACGCGGACTTCTAACCAGTCCTTCAAGAAACAAACCCAAGGCTTCACCAATGTTCTGAGAAAGACAAATCCAGCAAGGCAGTTGATTGTCGCCACCTCTTCCTTGTTTCAGGATCTTTCCTGATTCTCTTTTTTTTTCTCTTTCTTTCTCTCTCTCTCTCTCTCTCTCTCTCTCTCTCTCTCTCTCTCTCTCCCTCCCTCCCTCTCTCCCTCTCCCTCTTTTTCCCCCCTCAGATCCAACACCTAAAATGGAAGTTGCACTCAGCCAAAGGCAAGGGAGCCTGGGTGGTGACAAACTGATCTGGCAGCCCTACCCCCTCGCTTTCCTAAGTGATGTCAGCCCCTGCAAGCTTCCAATAGGAGACAGGCATAAATCAGGGAGCTGACTTTATCCAATAGGAAACTTTATTATAGGAAATTAAAAAAAGGGAGAGAGAGGAGGAGAGAAAGAGACTGGGAAGTTTTATATATATATTTATATTTAAAGCGGAGACTGTACAATCTCCGAGGAATTACTGCAGAGCTCAGGGTGGGGTGCTAAAGAACAAGGGCTTTTTAGGATGGCAAGCCTATAAGCCTCAGTTCTCTCTGATGAGGGGCTCTTGCTCCCTCTCCCTACCTACCTCGGAAGGGAAAAAGAAAAGAGCTTATTTTATTTGCCTGCTGCTGTTTGATTTGTTGCTTTCTTCCCCAATTCATTTTCCCAATGGAAGCCAGGAATGGAAGGACAGAAATCCCAGAAAAAGTACTACTGTGTATTGATTGGGATGGTAGGAAATATGAGGTAAATTCTCAATTTCATTGTTTTGGTTTAACTGCATTAGAGCTAATTAGAAAAAAATAAATGTCTGGACTTGTTAGTTTTTAGGCTCTCTGCTGTGAACTAAAAAGAAATAGACTCCACTGAGCTGTTGAGGAGAATCACTGACTTCCTTTTTGTCCCCAAATCAAAGTAATAAAGGTTTGCTCAGGAAAATCAACAGACTGAATAAACAAGCAATTTAGAGTAGATAACAGCATAGGTGAAATAGTTAATTACTAAACAAAGATGATGAGTTAGAGTTCTCTCTCTTTTACATTATTTTTTAAGTCACATTCATTCATTTATTTGTTTGTTTGTATGTATATGCATGTGTGGAGGTCAAAGGACAACTTGCAGGAGTTTGCTCTCTCCTTCCACCATGGGAGTCCCTGGGATTGAACCCAAGTTGGCAGGCTTGACTGAAAGTGCTTTCACCCACTGAGCCATCTTGCCGGCCCTAGTTTTTAGTTCCTATTTGTGTGTAGGTACATGATTTCCCAAGGCGAACTTCCGGAGGTCAGAGGACAACTTGCTGGAGTCAGTCCTCTCCTTCTACCATGTGGATCCTAGAAATCAAACTTAGGTCCTCAGGCTCGGCCAGCATGCACCTTCTTTGCCCGCTGGGCTATCTTACTGTAAGGCTCCTTTTTTGTGACAGGGTCTTGCTAGGTAGCCCTGGCTGACCTGGAACTCACTAAGCAGACCAGGCCAGCCTGAAACTTTCAGTTATCCTCCTACTTCTGTCTCCTGAGTTCTGAAATGACAGATGTGTGCCACCACACCTGACTTCCTTTATCTTGCTTACAGTAAAATATAAAGCTTTCAGGGACTGGAGAGATGGCTCAGCAATTAAGAGCACTTATTGTTCTTCCAGAGGTCCCCATTTATTGTTTATTTCCCAGCACCTACATGCGGCTAACAATCCTTAACTCCAGTTCCAAGGGATCTGGCTTCCGCAGGTACCAGGCACACACATTAAATATATA